GTTTGCTCTTCAGTCATCTCTGACAAATAGTGCATTACCAACCAAAACTGAAAGGAAAAGCAAGGAAAGTGAGGGAATCTGTTTCCATCTTACATTTATGTTTCTTTGTGAAGCTGCTAAACTTTCAGTATGAAGGCAGCTATAGACATAATGAGGTGTATTTGTATAGAATAACAGCCAGAGCTCTCAACACATTTTTGCTTTTAATAAAGTCCATTAAGAGCTAAAAACAGCAGGAAACATAAATCACCAACTGGCAACAGTCTGAATAAGTTCCAGAATAACCCTCTAGTACAAACCCCAGAAATCCTTCATTTTTAAGGCTGTTCTAATTTTATCTTGAGGTTAACCATTTGTATCTGGCACTTTTCTGGCAATCTTTCCAAAGCCAAAATTTTCCCTATAAAGTGATTAAAGTACCTATGCATATTGTTGATCATAACCTGAAACGGATAATTCAGTGTCTTCTGGTGCTTGTCATCTTTTCAACAAATGGATATTACAATGTGCACTTAAAACATGAAATAGTTTTTCTTCTCAAAGAAAAAAAAAAATCACCTTTCATTATTGTGAAGAAGGTCCTTGAGGCACCCAGGGGTACACAAATAAATGCATCTCAACTTTGCCTGCATAATTCAACAGTTACTCCTGGTGTATACCAAAAAGTAGGCTTTGACCATCTAAGCTGACTATAGATTTGACTCACATCCATCATTGTCTATAATAAAGCCCATTATATTCCATGGGACTTTTAGTATGCAACAGCTAGGCCTGAGAGGAGCTTTCCCATGCAATATTGGAACTCAAAAATAGCTTGAAACTAGAGTTTCTGTAGGGACACAAAGTTTTAAGAAAAAAAAAATGGAACTGCTGATCAAAGAGGCAGCAATATTGGTTGTCATGGGCACTTAACCTCTCTGTGTCTTCGATCTGATTTAGAAACAGTACAGATTTGAAGCCAGTCCCTTCTAACCCAGCTAATTTCCAAACTGCAAGTTAAGTTAAGCAGGAGAGAGTTACTAGAGCTACTGTCCTGCTTTTTACATTTTGTTTTTGTTTTGGGAAAAATGTTGAATAATCAAATTCTGGTCCTAGGACAGAACAGGTAACTAGCTGAACTCTCCACTCTTTAGCAGTCTAGAAAAAAACATTGCAATAAAACTAGAAGCTGCAATATAGTTCAAATCTTGTTGCACTGAAAGGCACAACTAGGAAGGAGGCAAAAGCCTTTCTGAGCTCAAAGAACAGTTCTGTTGTCTGCAGGCTTGTAGAGTTAGATCTGGACGTGGTTCTTTCTTTTAAAATTATTTGGAAGAAAGCACAGGTCTGCGTGAATGATATAAAACAAACTGAACCTTTTCACTAGGAACTTTGCAATGACAGATTTCCAAAAAGCATGTTGTTTTCAAGCCACAAACAGAACAAAATGTCCTGTCATAACCGAATCGTTCATGTGATTCCTACCCTAAGTAAGCAAAAACAAAAAGGTTTTGTTTGTTCTGCTGTGAAACAACTGCAGGTCATAGCTCTGGCTTGGATGAGAACAAGAGAAAAGAGAATATTTCTGACTTTGGCAGTGCTTCTATGTCACCTTGCAGCCCAGCATCTGCCTAAGGGATGTCAGCCCAATACAGCCTACTATACAAACTGCTCGCACTGCCCACACCAGAAATGCTGCAAAACTTACATAGCTAACAGACATTAGTTAACTGGCATTTACTAATACACAGAATAAAGAAACAGTGTGCACTTCCATGGTACCTTTCTTTTTAAAGTCAGAACAGTTTTGCCTCAAAAGCTGCCTAAGACTTCTACTTAACTCCCATTTACTAGATTAGGAAACTGAAGCATGACTTCTCTCTCAGCCACAAACAAAAAATCCCACTCAAACTGGGAAGAGAATCCAGGTTCGATGCTACAGTGAGGAGTCCATTTTTCTCCTCCCCTAATTGCTCCTTCATTTACAGTTACTTTTGCTTGGATTTTTTAATAAGGAAGAGGCCAGATTCAGGTAAAGCCACAAGAAGGTGCATACATGATCCTTTATGACAGAAGATGGCTCCTTAAGTCAGCTTTTGCCTATGTAAGCTACTGAATCATAGATTAGTTTGGCTTGGAAGGGACCTTAAAGATCATCTAGTTCCACCCCCCCTGCCCTGGGCCAGGACACCTCCCCCCAGACCAGGTTGCTCAAAGCCCCATCCAGCCTGGCCTTGAACACTTCCAGGGATGGGGCATCCACAGCTTCCCTGGGCAACCTGTTCCACTGCCTCACCACCCTCACAGTAAAGAATTTCTTCTTAATATCTAATCTAAATCTACCCTGTTCCAGTTTAAAACCATTACCCCTTGTCTTATCACTACACTCCCTCATAAAGAGTCCCTCCCCAGCTCTCCTGTAGGCCCCTTTAGGTACTAGAAGGCTGCTATAAGGTCTCCCCAGAGCCTTCTCTTCTCCAGGCTGAACAACCCCAACTCTCTCAGCCTGTCACCATAGGAGCAGTGCTCCAGCCCTCTAATCATCATCATGGCCCTCCTCTGGACCCACTCCAACAGGTCCACGTCCTTATGTTGGGGGCCCCAGAGCTGGACGCAGTACTCAAGGTGGGGTCTCACCAGAGCGAATTAGGGGGGCAGAATCACCTCCCTTGACATGCTGGCCACCCTTCTTTTGATGCAGCCCAGGATGCAGGTGGCTTTCTGGGCTGCAAGAGCACATTGCGAGGTCACATTGAGCTTCTCATCCACCAAGACCCCCAAGTCCCTCTCCTCAGGGCAGCTGTCCATTCATTCTCCGCCCAGCCTGTATTTGTGCATGGGATTGCCCTGACCCATGTGCAGGACCTTGCACTTGGCCTCATTGAACTTCATGAGGTTTGCACGGGTCCACCTCTCAAGCCTGTCCAGGTCCCTCTGGATGGCATCCCCTCCCTCAGCCTTTTCCACATCCCAGGTAACCAGGTCTCCCATTTCCTTCCTGAGTGGGCCTACTTTTCCCTAGTCTTCCTTTTATCACTGATGTACCTATAGAAGCTTTTCTTGTCGCCCTTGATGTCCCTGGCCAGATTTAATTCTATCTGCACTTTAGCTTTCCCAACCTGATCCCTGGCTGCTCAGACAACTTCTCAGAATTCCTCCCAGGCTACCTGTCCTTGCTTCCACCCTCTATAGGCTTTCTTTTTCTGTTTGAGTTTTTCCATGAGCTCCTTGTTCATCCATGCAGGCCTCCTGGTGGTTTCGCCTGACTTCCTCTTTGTTGGGATGCATCACTCCTGAGCTTGGAGAAGGTGATCCTTGAATATTAACCAGATTTCTTGGGCCCCTCCTCCCTCCAGGGCTTTATCCCATGGTACTCTACCAAGCAGATCCCTGAAGAGTCGGCTCTTCCAAAGTCCAGGGTAGTAAGCTTGCTGTGCACAGTCCTTGCTGCCCTAAGGATCTTGAACTCTACCATTTCACGGTCACTGCAGCCAAGGCTGCCCCTGAGCTTCACATTCCCCACCAGTCCCTCCTTATTGGTGAGAACATGGTCCAACATCAGAAGGTCCAGAATCAGAAATCAAGATCTTCCCAGCCTTCAGGAGTGATGCGACCCTTAAGGGTGAGGTAGCTTTCTATCTGTGCCATTTCTGTTCTGCACTGCAAAAGTCAATGCCACATCTCCACCTGTCCCCAGTGACCTTGGGGCATAACAGAGGCTGCAGGAATGATGTGGTTTTGGCATTTACAATAACCACATTTGTGCCTATCCACCGTCACTCAGGATGGTTGCTCATTAAATGTTCCTCCTGCCACCACACACCTGTAGAGCAATCAGACCCAGACCCATTTTTTTTTTCTTGAGAGAATAACTTCAGCTCATACAAAACAATTCTAAATATGTTGCTGATGCCAAAGATCTCCTGAAAATGTTTCCCACATGCATTTTGCAGTACTTGGATTAAAGCAAGTGTATTTATTGCCATATTTGGATAGAGAAAGAGAAAAGACACTATACAACCTCACCTTAAACATCCCAGCTCCAATATTAGACAGGCTTTTACCCCCCTGCCATTATTTGCAGAAGATCAGGGATAATGTTGCTAGGCTTGACAGTAAAGTGCACTATGATCTGGCCAGCTAGCATGTAAATATTTACAGATAATCTGATTTGCCTGGAAAGAGACTCAGGATTGCATATTCTTAAATCAAAGCTTTTTTTTTTTCATTCCACTGCTTGTGAAAAATGCTGCAAAAGTATCAGAAACAAGCAAGCAAAAGATACACTTTATTTCCTAGAATTCATTTTGACTCTAAAAAAAGCAAAAGATACACTTTTTTGTTTCCTAGAATTCATTTTGACTCTAAAATTATCTGTGCAAAATACACAGGCACATACAAATGTATAAGATAAAGACAAAGAACTGGTCTTTGCATCATCATCATACACAGCTTGGTACGTTAATGGTATTATGTTTAGTATTTCTGCTGGGCTGTCTGTGCTCCCCTTACTAAATAAAGCTCTCCCCATCTATGCAGTTCAGAACCGAGCATTCCTCTACCCAGACAGGATGCTTTGGAGTATTTTGAGACAATGACTGCCAAGAATTATCACAAACTGCCAAAGCAGAATGTGTGTTGGGGGAGGGTGAAACTGGTTTTGTGAAACAAGTTGCAAAAGCAGCGATGCCCTACCTGCGCCCAGTTGCTGAAGACCTGCCCATTTCCTCCATAAGTGACAAGCTCCTGAGGAAACTGAAAAAGACAATTTAACAATAAGGCAAACACTTTGAAACATTTCACTGTATCTCCAAGCTATTTTTTAAATCTCAATAATAAATCTTTTCTATAGCTTATTGCATCAACACTCTCTAGATTCTTGAAATCAGAAAATAGCATCAAAAAAGTGATAATTTAAGAAAAAACAAAAATTATTTTTCAAAATGAGATGCTTGCTGTTGTTACAATGGTATTTTGGATGCAGAATGCTATGTAGCGATTCCTGGAGTGCAGTTTCTGTAACAGACAGACGTCTCAGTAAACTCCCTTAAACAGGGACTGAGTGGACTTACAGTTCGGTTGCTACTGGCATTTAGAGCTGGAAGAGTCTACGGCCAGCAGGGCATAGTTGCACGGCCTCTCCCCTGCCATTTGTAAAAAGATGAATGACACTGGGTAGTGCTTGTAATGATGGACTTTGGTCCTGTAATCATCTGGTAAATCTATCCTTGGAGGCTGAGCCTTCAAAGATACAGGAAACATCAGCACTAATTTTTCAACATATGTTGTAGAAGCAACGTACTAGAGCTGAGCTCTACCCATCTCACAGACAGTGACCAAGCTCCTGTATATCGCAAGAGCTGGAACGAGCCTTGTTGGTGTTGCAGGAGGCCTCAGAGGTCTGAGTGAGGACCAGGACCCACCATGCAGGATTAACAACTGCACACAGCAGGAAGCTAAAGAACTTAATCAGAAGGACACCAAACCCCAGGAATCTAAACATAATCACAAGAAAAGTATAGAATCACCTTTAGTCCCTTGCAGGCTTCGCCTCACAGAAGTGGACACTCTAGCACACCACTCTGTCAGGAGGCTGCCTTGGCAATACCAAAATTGGCCTGCTTAGCTAACGCACGGCAGCCAGCTCTATAGGCGCAGCGACTGGCACCTACCTTGGAGCACAGAACCAGCAAAAGGCCTATGAACAACTAAAATCCTATTCAATCCGTGGGAGGAGGAACATCTGCAAAAGGATTAATTTCACCTATATGCCTAAATTCTTCAGTTTTTACGTGAAAGCACATACAGAAAGTAGCTTGCACATTTGCTGCTGCCCTATGAATCCAGCTTCCTTATTTTCACCGTGCCTTACCTGAGCCACTGAGGGATCCAGATTGTTCATGATCATCAACATAACAGCAGCAGCTGATTTGGTCTTGCAGGGGTAGTCTCCTATGGGGTACGCTCTGAAAGGGTAGTCACAAAAATTTAGGAGAGAAATTCCAGCTCACAAGGACAACCACAACAACACACCCCACAGAAACATCCCTGCATGCCAACACACCCATTGGAGTTGCAGGCTTTTATTCAGGGTTGGGGGAAGGAGAAAGTGCAGATCTGAAATGAAATATGTACCTTAACAGTTAAAACCTGATTTGCCTGTTATCAGAACTAAGCAAAGAACAAAATTATATCCAGCTTATCATTTGCTGAATCAACCTGGTTATAAATAAGGTGGCCAAAAGCTCTCATTGTTTTTTAACTGGATATTTTGGGGGATGCTAGAACTGGCCTTTGTCACACAGCTGCCAGGCTAAGCAGCTACATCCTGCAACACCAAGGGAAATAGCATCAGTGGAAGTTGCCTTCAGACTCATCAGCCCTTGTTATTTAAGATCCTATCTAAGAAAAACACCCAGCTTGAATTTCAGTTCCAAAGAAACTCTCAAAACCTGAACTAGTTAGGAGAAATATCAGTCTTTTTACTGAATAAGATGCATTTCATCCAGAAAGCTGAGGTGAGGTATGGGAAAGCCTCGCAAAGGTATCCTGCATCAGGTTTCCTAGCACTAATGTGTTTCAATGCCACCTGCTGCGATCATCTGTTATCTTCTCCTCCACCATCTGCTTTTTATATCAAATTGCTCTAAAACCTCTAGTCCTAGATTTATACTGTAGCTCTTCAGGGCAGGGACAGTTCCTTTACTGTGTTTGCACAGGTCTTAGTACAATTGTGCTGAGGCCTCTCAGGTATGACACCAAAAGGAAGTATAACCATGGAGCAAGAGTTTTGCTCTTTCACTTTCTGTAAGCAACACCACCACTGCAGATGCTGGAAATTCCTAAAGGTAGATAGGATCATTTGACACGGTTTCTAAATTATCTTCCTTTTATTGGGCAATAGATCTTCAGTGGCTGCACATTTGCTTTGTACAGAGAAGACAACTGAAAAGGTTAGGCTAAAGTGCACCAACTACAAAAAATTTGGACATCCACTGACCAGCTCATGAGCCAAGATCTGGAATGTATATTCTACAGATTTAGCAAAAGGACTCCTCCCATGATCATATGTACTTTATCCTAGTTTTTTTACACCAGGATACTAACACAAAGGCCTTGTAGTCATTGCCAAACCAGGAAGAAAAGCATTTGGGTTTCTCCACCATACTTTATTAGTGTTTTCTGTTTTTCTAAGCTTGATGTGATAAAATAACAGGATTTCTGTGGAATGATAACAATTCATCAAGAGGAGCTATTTGCACATAATATTGCTTGGAACATAAAACCCCTAAAGTTCAGATATCAGCTGAGCGTGCCGGTATGGGAACATGGCTGTCAAATGGAACAGAACCAAGCTGGACTGTGCTCCCTGGGACATGCAGAACAAAAAAAATCAAATACTACCAGACTTCAGAACAAAAGGCATTTTCTTAATCTGAGACTGTAAGAATCTATTAGAAAGAGTGATCAGTGAAATGGTCACAAAGAAAAAAATATTTGAAGCTAACACAGTCGCTGATGCCAGTGTTGGAAACAAGCTGGTGGACTGCCTCATCCAAGACTACTTGGAAGGTGCCCTCATCTGCAGTTCAGGACTAGGATCCTATGAAATCCAGCTCTGCAATATCTTTCAGACAGTCTTCCCGTTGTCCTACCCTTCGCTGAATTCTGCAAGAGCTGACCCCACACTAGTATGGACAGCACAGAAATATAGACGTGTGGAAATCAGAGTGCTTTCTAGTTGCTTGCTTTATTCAGATTTCTGTACAGACATTAACCAGGCCCCTGCTGGATGCAAAAAGGAATCAATCAGTCCAAAAAAAGCAGCTAGCCCCTGGCAGCCCTCTCTAAAACTGTTCTGCTTCACAAGCATTAGCCCCATCAGCCCTAGAATGAAGTGATTCTCCAAGATCAACAGGCACAGCATATTACACACCAGGGTCAGATACAGGTTCCAATGACAGAAAAATGTACTGTCATTCTTTTAAGCCCAGAAAGCCTTCTCTGGAACTCTGGGAAACAACCAGCCACTCACAGCAGGTCTCAACTCATCTGATCTTACCTCTTGGTTCAGCTGAGACTTGACTTGCAGCAGCTCAGGACTACTGCAAGTTTTCTGTCCAGGTTGCAATCAGAGGTCTCTGAGTAATGACTGGCCTCTAGAAACTAAAACTTGCCATGGGTCAGAGCATTTGGATCTCTGTGTATGGCAAAGATGGCATTACCAAGCACACAACCTTGCACAGTCCTTTCCCTGTGTTGAGTGGTGCTGAGCTTTCCAGCAGCGAGACTGTCCTGGCCCAGCCATAGCCTATTGAGAAGTGTACATGCTGTCTCCTTACTAGTCCCATGGGACTCTCATGAGGACAGAGAACAGGATGAAAGTTGAAGGATGGAGGATTGCCGTTACACAGTATCCTCCCTGGAAATGAAACCACTGCTATCTAATGATACACAGAACATCCAATTTATTCAGATGATGCACTTCATTAATATGTTATGATGACTTCTACAAGAGGTAAATTAGGACACAGCAATGCCACTACTTAAAGGTCAGCTTCACAGGTGAAAGCTGGTAAGCAAATGGCAGCCAAATACAATGGGAACCATCCAGTCCTTACCTCATCTCAATATCTGGAAAGAATCTGTACATATAGATATGGCCGTACAGCCGGAGCTCTTCAGCAAATTCCAGTGCCAGCTTCTTTTGTATTTCAGGTGGGAAATAACGCAAGGCATTGCGCAAAGCCAGCTGCCAAAAAAAACCCAAGAGAGACAAAAATCGATGTAAAAGAGAAATGGAGGTAAATGGGTGGCCCTGAACTATAATCAGAGTCAGCTGGAAGCCTGCCTAAGCTATCACAAGGACAACATAATTTAAAAGGCCAAGCTCACACC